TGCCACTCTAATATTGATATATTTCACCTTGATATCAAAAGATTCAAGAAACAACTGAGAGAATTCTTGTTAAATTTTTATAGTATTCCTTGAATACAAAAATATAGAAATAGTGCTGGTATTGATTCATTTATGATACTTAAGTCATATCGAAATTGTAATTTTCTAGTGTGTGTCAAAATACTATACCCATGTATATTTCATATATGCTGATATTGTATATACCGACGTTACTGTCTTCTCTTCAGATTGTTATTTTTGAATGAAAGTTATGGAATAGCAGGTAGGTACTTAGTTTTTAAATGATAGTATGTAGGTGCAACCCATGTGAAGACAATAATTTTGTATCACTGTGTTATCCTGTCATTGGAAGGACTATTTATATAGTTCCTCTGTTGGATAACCTTGTTTTCTAAATAAATAAATAAAAAATAAATAAATAGCCGAGCGGCAGGAAAAGTGGATTTTCTATGACACTTAACAGGCACCAACGGTGTACTTTTTCTGCCTAGGCAGGGAAAGTTAGTTGCTATTCAACGCTCCAAGTAATTTGAATGAAATTAGTAATCAAAATTGACAGTGACATTGGGTGAACACAAAATGTTGGAGTTTTCGATGAAAAATTCACAAAACTGGTTTTATAACATTTCGCGAAAAATTTATATGTTTTACACGGCAGTAAATGTAGATTGACTGACAGCCTTCAATGTACTACTTTCCTGCCTAGTAAAACAAATAACCATATTTCTCCAAGCGGTTGCCTAATAGTTGAACAAATGAATATTTTCTACATCTGGTTACTTACAGTTATAAAGCAAATAAATGAAAACTTCAACCTGAAATTGTCCATATTGAAAAATATTCAATTGAAAGGTAGCAATACTAGGTTTCCATTTAGAACATTCCTTTTTGTGATTTGTCAACGTAGTCGACAGAATCTACATAATCGGCGTCATAAAAATCGATATTTCAAGTGAGCTGACCTAGTGTTAAATAATTTCAAACAACGCATTGGCATATAATTTGCAACAAAAACACATTCGAATGGGTGGAAAAATCAATTATTGAAGTCGCTGCAGATTATATCAGTCGAGTACAATAATTCTACGAACTACGAAATGAGTCATACAGAGAGAAATATAGAACTACACTGTGTCCCAAATTGGCCACAAAACATTTATGACAATTTTCTTACAGATAGTTGATTGTCCACATCAATGTGGATGAGAAATTCAAATGCGTAAGCTTCTCTCTCAATATGTCCTCATAAGAATGGGAAGTCAAAGGGATTTGTGTCGGGGGATCTGACAGTCCAGATAATGTCTTTTTGATCGGGTATTTGAAAATTGAATCAACGAAATACGAATTGAATTGAATCATGAAGAATTCAAAATGAAGGCACACCTTGCGATGGCCTGGACGCCATTTTGATAAAATATTGGAACATATAGGTTGGTCTTTGAGCATTTGTACAGGGCTAGTTTTATTAATGTGAACCCCCCTTATTCTTTTTTGTTTTTTACTAATTCAAAAAAATTTCAAGCTGATTTCATAAAATTTAAAATACAGATTTCACTCATTGTGACATTGTGCATACAGGGTATACAGAAAAATATATTTTTTTCAAATGGAATGTGCCGTATATTTTGATAGATTTGATATCTCCAATTCATCCTGATTTCAAATATATGATAGAAGTGATTCATACACCTATCAAAATATACAGCGCATTCTATTTAAAAAATATAAATATTTCTGTATTTGAAGAGATACTGAAAAACTGTCACTATGATTGGAACCTGTGTATAAAATCCGTTTAAAATTTGTTTGGATGGGTGAAAAACTAAAAAAATTGAGAGGGGTTTACATTAATGAAACTAGCCCGGTACAAAGAAGTATGTCAGATTGTTGACTTTGAAATATCACGATTTTGGTCAGTACTCAGTTTGCCTCTCGTTTGCCTTTATAAAATATTGCAAATCAGACAGATACAAGGTGTAGAAGCTAATTCTACATCAATGTTTTTGGAGATGGATACATGATATTTCAAAACTAGGGGTTTATGGCCATGACAAATCATAATTTGCTATTCAATGTATTCTCTAGAGAGCGCCACACAAGCCACTGTTGGGAACACCCATATATCTTACGTAATCGTTGGGTAAGGATACGGAAATTTTCCTGGAGTGAGAGATATACCAAAAATGCACTCTATGGCTAAGTGGGGTCATCTTCAGTGATATACACTGCTCGCCAACATCCATGGAACCACCCCAATTTCCGGAAAATGATATTAGGAATCAAAATAGGTTGAAAATCACTTTGGATTCGGAATCAGGACACCCAATTCACTAACTATTCATAGTTTTCCTAGAAAATTTCCAGTTCAGAAAAATTAAATTCTGTCTCACTTCTCATGGAAGCACCTCCGTATCTCACGTAATTATTGAGGTAGGGTTCTGAAATTTGCAGGAGGAAAAGAAAGTCCAAGTCGACTGTATTATACGGGTGTCAATTTGAAAACTTCCCACCCTTAATATCTCCCTCCAAGTCGATAATATGGAAAAACGAAAAGACAGGTCGATTTTATTTTCGAGGGGGACATGGTTCTAAAATATTTTCAGCCCCGCGGCGTTGCCGCTTCTAACGAAAAGAAGCAACAACTTTGTTATTTCAAATGGAACACCCTGTATTTTATTGCATATTTAGATTCTCACTGAAAAGCTGATTTCATCAAAGTATCACACTTGGGGTCTAGCAGGAATGATTACAGAGATATAGAGTGTTCAAAATCGAGATTTTTCAACTTAAGGATTTTTTTTGAGACGAAACTATTCATTATCGGTCAAAACGACTTTCATGTCCGTGTCTTCACTTTTGATTTACTATCTACTGACATTTAATAATTGGAACAGATACAGGGTGATCAAAAGTCTGAATCTTGAACCACCCTGTATTTGTTTCAAATAAATGCCAGTAGATAGTAAATCAAAAGTTGAGATAGGGACATAAAAGCCGTTTTGACCAATAATGAATAGTTTCGACTCAAAAAAATCCTAAAGTTGTAAAATCTCGATTTTGAACACCCTATATCTCTGTAATCATTCCTGCTAGACCCCAAGTGTGATACATTGATGAAATCAGCTTTTCAGTGAGAATCTAAATATGCAATAAAATACAGGGTGTTCCATTTGAAATAACAAAGTTGTTGCTTCTTTTCGTTAGAAGCGGCAACGCCGCGGGGCTGAAAATATTTTAGAACCATGTCCCCCTCGAAAATAAAATCGACCTGTCTTTTCGTTTTTCCATATTATCGACTTGGAGGGAGATATTGAGGGTGGGAAGTTTTCAAATTGACACCCTGTATTATGATATAATAGGAAATATCAGGGAGTTCATTCAATTGAGCTACAAGCAGGAGAAGATTAAAACTGGTTTTATTATTCTCCTGAAGATGCTAACATAGTTAGCGAAACACGTGTCGAGGCGTTAAAAAATCGGTTTGGTTAGTGGTAAAATAGTGTAGTGTACTTTGTTACAAGTCAATTCAACAAAAACAAGAAGTTACTTGCAATGCGAGTTAAAAGGTATAAATTTGAATAATAATGTGTTTACAAAAATATACAGTGTGTCCACCTTAAGGACTTACCACCCCTGTAAAATCGTTATTATCCGACCAATTTCAAAACAACTTTTTTTGTTGGATAGGTATTTGAAATGCTCATCCAACGAGAGAGTGATCTAATTCTTGGACTGTTATCGTGGCCAACTGCGACAAATTTCAATGACCCATATTCCAGAAAGTACTATTAGGGAATTTTTTCCAAGAAACTTGATGATGGATTCTGAATCAGTACCACTTGAAATATACCTGTACCGATTTTCATCATCATAAAACACAGGGTGTCCGAAAAAATGAATCATCATTTTCTTCAAATAGGTGATCAGCAAATGTAGTTCTGTGTGGTTTTTCTAGAAAGAAATAATCACAAATTATCATTGGGGATTATTTCAAATATACCTATACCAATTTTCGTCATTTGAATATACAATGTGTCTGAGAAAAAAATTAAAAAGGATAGGTAAGCAATATTTTTCATCCTGATAATTCTTCACTCAAAATAAAAAGATGCATCAAGATCACTTGAAACATACCTGTACCGATTTTCATCATCATTAAACACAGGGTGTTCGAAAAATCAAATCAATATTTTTATGAGTTGATGAAAAAATATTTCCTACTTGTTCTTTCTAATTGTTTTCTCATACACATCGTATTCTTGAATGATGAAAATCGGTACAGATATGTTCAAAGTGATCCTCAATGATAATGTGTCATCAATTCTCCTCAAAAATACCACAATTCTACACTTTTCGTGATCACCTATTAAAAAAAACATAATTCATGTTTTTTTGGACATCCTGTGTTTTATGATGATGAAAATCAGTAAAGGTGTTTTTCAAGTGATCGTGATTCAGAATCCATCATTGTTTTTTGTGAAAAAAAATCCCTAATAGTACTTTCTCAAATATGGGTCAATAAAGTTGGTCGCATTTGGCCACGATTACAGTTCATGAGTAAAATCACTCTCTTGTGTGATGGACATTTCAAATACCTATCCAACAAAAAAAAGTTTTTTGAATTCGGTAGATAATAACAATTTTACAGGGGTGGTGAGTCCTTAAGGTGGACACACTGTAGATGATGTAGACATAAAAATTGATAGGACAATGACAAAAGTCATATAATTTATATTCTTATGATTGAAATAATCACTCCATGATTATTCAAATATAGTATCATTTTGATGTTCAGTTGCGAATCATCTTAGTCGATGGAATTTATTGATATTTGCCACTTCCACATACACACAAACAAATGTGCTTATTGTGTAGGGCTCTGTTAGTGCATCAGACTTTCTTTCGACACATGCTTGTGATGCCTCAACCTCGTTATTTTACATCGATTAGTTTTACGTTTTGTTTGTTTTTTTTTTCAGAAAAAGATCTTCATCATAATCTGCCTCGTAGTAGCTCTCATCATATTAATAATAATATTATCAGTTACTCTAAAGTAAGTCTTGAGGTCAGCATTGCCAATGAATTGTGCGTGCATGTGTATCGTTGAAACGGGTGTAATCTGGAGTTTGAGAAAAAAGTGGCATAATGAAATGGGATTTTTTTCGGAAATCAGGCATGCTGATACGCGTGAATCTGGTACTTTTCCACATGGTCGAGGATATTTTACCACCAGTGCTGTCGATGATGATTTTTTGTTGTACACCTCTACTGAATAACATTATGCTATGGAAATTTATATTCTGTTGTAATTTGTAAATTCTGGAAATAGCATTTAATAATATGTACAGTACAATGTGTCCAGTTTTCGATGCTTTTGCAGTTATCTTTGAAGATAGAGTGTTGCGGTTTTCACGTTACTGCCTTATTTTTTTGTGAAACGAATAATTATTTCCCTTGGCTCTCAAGATGTTCTCTGAACATTACAGGATATCCCTCATCGTGGGAACCAGAACATAAAAAAAAACAGAATTTTCATAATCCATAATCCTTCATGTTTTTGAGATACAAAATTCTCACTTTTTGTGCACCTCCTGATCTTGGTTACTTTTCAAATTATCTTCAGGATGAGAACGGGGCCTTATACAGGGTGTCCCATTGGGAAACGGAAAAACTTCAACGGTGGGTAGAGCTCATCAAGGTGGCTCTGAATATACCATATTTGTAGGGTCTCACGAGTCTATATCCGCAATATAGGGTGTTTTATCAATTTTGCCCAATTCTTTGTGAGGACATAACTCACGAACCACTTTGTATATTCTTTTGCAATTTGGTACACAATTCTTTCTTTTTCTACCAAAGCGACTCACCTATCAGTCACGAAAAAAATCCAGGTCCGGATTAACAAAAGTTGATAATATTTCTGGACACCAAAAAGAACACCCTGTGTTTTTGAATTCTCAAAATCCGCTAACATATTTGGAAAGTGTACAAAAAGCTGAACCGAATGGTGTACTTTTCTTTTTTCCGCATGCAATTTCACTAAGGAATTTCTGATTTTGAATTCGAGGTTTTATGCATTTGGATAGGTAAAAATAATGTTTTGAGTTATCCCAACCGAATAACAACAATTATCACGAACCACCCAGTATATTCTTTTGGAAGTTGGTACACGAGTTCTCCTCATTCTACCCAAGCGCCTCACCTATCATCCACGAGAAAAATCCAGGTCCGGATTAACGAAAATTGATCATATTTCTGGACGCAAAAAAAAAACACCCTGTATTTTCGAATTCTCAAATCCGCTTACATATTTGGACAGTGTACAAAAAGCTGAACCGAAAGGTGTACTTTTCATTTTTCCACATGCAATTTCACAAAGGAATTTCTGATTTTGAATTCGAGGTTTTATGCAATTGGATAGGTAAAAATAATATGTTTTGAGTTTTCCCAATCGAATAATATTATCACGAACCACCCAGTATATTTTCCTGGAATTTGGTACACGAGTTCTCCTTGATCTACCCAAGCCCCTCACCTATCATTCACGAGAAAAATCCAGGTCCAAATTAACGAAAATTGATTATATTTCTGGGCCCCAAAAAGAACACCCTGTATTTTCGAATTTCCATAATATGCTTACATAGTTGAAAATTGCACAAAAAGCTGAATCGGATTGTCTACTTTTTGTTTTCATACGAATGCTATTTCACTACTGAATTTCTGATTTTGAATTTGAGGTTTTATGCATTTGGATGGGTAGAAATCGAAATAAGATGGAAAGATTTGGGTCCAAATATGGAATCGGATTTTGGAAATTCGAAAATACTGGGTGTTCTTTTTCGGGCCCAGAAGATCATAATTTTTTATTAATCCGGACCTGGATTTTCATCGTGACTGATAGGTGAGTCGCTTGGGTAGAAGAAGGAGGATTCGTGTACCAAATTCCAAAAGAATATACTGGGTGATTCGTGATAGTTTTTGTTATTCGATTGGGAAAACTCAAAACATTTTATTTTTACCTATCCAAATGCATGAAACCTCATATTCGAAATCAGAAATTACCTAGTGAAATAGCATGCGGAAAAATGGATATATGATCAATTTTCGTTGAGTCGGTCCTGGAAAAAGGCGAAATTATGTACCAAATTCCAAATGAATATACTGGGTGGTTCGTAAGTTATATCCTCACAAAGAATTGAACAAAATTGATAAAACACCCTATATCTCGGATATTAAACTTGCGAGACCCTACAAATATGGTAAATCCAGAACCACCTTGATGAGCTCTACCCACTGTTGAAGTTTTTTCGTTTCCCAATGGGACACCCTGTATAAATTTGTACGTATAAGACAGTGGCGTACTCATTTTATATCGGTAATCGCTCATTATGAGAAAATGAAGCCAACATTTTTATTTTCAAATGTGACAACCCATATATTTCTATCCAGTTCGATTCAGATTTCATATAGCTCATCGAACATACCGAGTGATACAGGGTATCGAACCACCCCTGTAACTTCTGCATTCGTGAACGGATTTTTCTGAAAGTTGGTAGAGTTATGTAAGCAACTATTTTGGATTTGATGACATTACAATCCAATATGGCGAACTTCCGGTTTTCTAGAAATGCCAGCAACTTCGGTTTTTCAAATGGAACACTACTAACTATTTGAATTCAACATGTCAAAACAAGTGCAATCTTATGATGAGATTCAGTAATGTTGTTTTCCGCAGCTTACTTGAAAAATTATTCGAACTGCAAGTAAATTCATGAAACTATAATACAGTGGCGTACTCATGTTAATCGCTCATATTTAGGAAATAGAGCCAACAAAAATTTCAACTATTATATATTTATGATCAGCTATATGAAATCTGAATCGAACTGAATAGAAATAAACAGGGTGTTCCATTTCAAGAAAAATATTGGCCTCATTTTCTAATAATGAGCGATTACAGAAATAAAATGAACACGTCACTTTATTATACGTACTAAGTTATATAAGGCCTCGTTCTCATCTCCTGCCGATAAGTTGAAAAGTAACCAAGGTGATGGAGGTGCTCAAAAAATGAGAATTTTCAACTTCGCCTTGTATGTCAAAAACATGAAAGGCTATGAAAATTCTGTTCGCGGCATTATTTGTTTCACAAAAAAGTATGACAATAATGTAAAAATCACAACACTCTATTTCCAACGATAACAGAGATATCGAGCAAAAGCATCGAAGACTGGACACACTGTACATACAGTGCTTTCGTGTAGTAGTACTTGATAAATTCATTTTCACTCAAACTTTCCATTTCTGAGGAATCTCCTGAAACAGGTCGATTTTTAAAGTAAATTTGCCACATTTATATGGGAACATTGAATATACACAGGGTGATCCACATTTGAGTAATGCAGTCCGCGACATATTTTCATTGGTATTCCCAATATACTATACAGGGTGATCCACGGTGGATGGCCTATTAGAAGTATCTGGAGAACGAAAAGACAAAACATTCTGAAAATTGAGATACTTTTATAATTGAATATTCTCTACCCGTCTAAAATGTTTTCATCAATACAGTGTTGCCACTTCTATCAGAAACAACTAGCAAATTCGTTATTTTAAATTGAGCACCCTGTATTTTATTGCATTTTTATGTTCTTCCTGAAGAGCTGATTTCATCAATGTATCACACTTGTGATTTTTTAAAAGTTAACATAGGAACATGTAAGTCGTTCTGAACGATAATGAAGATACAAAAAAACCTAAAATTGAAAAATCTCGATTTTGAACACCCTATATCTCTGTAATCATTCCTGCTAGACCCCAAGTGTGATACATTGATGGAATCAACTCTTCAGGAAGAATCTAAAAATGCAATAAAATACAGGGTGTTCCATTTGAAATAACAAAGTTGCTAGTTGTTTCTGATAGAAGTGGCAACACTGTATCGATGAAAATATTTTAGACGGATAAAGAATGTTCGATTATCAGAATTTTCTGTGTTTTCGTTCTCCAGATACTTCTAATAGGCCATCCCCCGTGGATTACCCTGTCTATACTATACATTTTTGGTATCTCCATAGAAAGCTGAATTCAAAAATACATATATCACTCACAGGGTTTGTATACAGTGCGTCCGTTAAATTCAGTGCTCTCGTAAAATGGGATTGCCATTAAAAAAATACAAATGACGTCAGTTCTCATACACTTATCATTCTGATTGAATTTGAAAAAATGTCCAAATTAGTATGACGACGTAGAGCGCTCTTTCCAAAAATCATTCCTTCAATTTCTCATGAAATTAGATCCACAACTTTACGACAGCAACTTATTTAACGGATGCCAACCGCATATATGTGTGAAATATGTTTGAATTCACCTTTCCATGGGGATTCCGAAAATTGAATAATATACACTGTGTCCCAGCTAAAATGTCCCACCCTGTAAAAAATCAACCGCGCGATCGAATGACTTGAAATTTGGTCACCCAGTATATTTGATGATGCTCACTCGAAATATGCTTTTGAATAAATCGTCGGTATACAGGGTCACACTGAAGTGCACCTAAACTTTCCTATTTGAATGGGGAGACCCAGTTAATTATTCTATATTCAAGTAGAGTTCATTATAACAAATTCAACAATGCCGGGTTTGATGGGATTTTTTCAAACGACTACGAAGATATGGCGAAAAATAAAACGATTCAATAAAGAATGAATATGATTAGATTTCATCAATATAACACGATTAAAATCGAATGGAAAAAAATAATTAAAATCTAATAATTGTCTCGATGGTGATAGCAACTGGCCAGCTCGGTCGCCAGAGCTCACCCCACTTGATTTTTATTTGTGGGGCTACTTGAAACAACAAGATTATGAGTTGCCAATTGTGAATATGGAAGAAATGAAAAAAAAATCACAAATTTATGCACACAAATTGATCGCAACGTGATACATAGGGTCGCAATGAACGTTATCAAAAGAGCTAAGAAATGTTTGCAGCAGAATGGACGACATATTGAGCAGTGGAGGTTTTAATAATTTTTTTTATTCGATTTCAC